AGAAGAAGAAGAAGAAGAAGAAGAAGAAGAAGAAGAAGAAGAAGAAGAAGAAGAAGAAGAAGAAGAAGAAGAAGAAGAAGAAGAAGAAGAAGAAGACAGCAATTGTGAATTTTGGCTTCTCTGGGCTCAAAATGGGCAAATCATTTAGCCAGTAATAATTGTGACTGACATGGTATAACCCCACCTCCCAAGTAACAGTTACAGAGGACCCTTGACTTACAGACGGCTTGACTTACAGACTTTTTGAGTTACAGACTTCTCTGGCCGCAAAATTTAGGTTCGACTTGCAGCCTGAGAATTGACCTACAGATCAGAAAAAAACCAAAATGGAACAAAAATGGAATAAAAACGGGCAGTTACAGGATTGATCGGTTTTCAATGCATTGTAGGTCAATGGAGACTCGACCTACAGACTTTTTGACCTGCAGCCACCTTTCCAATATGGATTAATTCCGTAAGTAGAGGGTCTACTGTATTTGTGTTTCCTTATTTGCAGTGATTTTTTTTTAACGGAGACCCAGAAATTCAGAAATACTGATACAGACAGGCAAGGATTAGGATGGAGCACCTTCAAAAGAGGACAGTACAGGCTGGGCTTTGTGACCTTATGTGACCGCAGACTGGGTTGGACAGCCATTACATGTATCTAATCCCTGTATCGGCATATTTTGTCTGATCCCCAGCTCCTGAACTGCCTGTTGACTTGCCAGTTTCGTTTATATACCTTGGCAATGGCTCCCAACCTTGAGTCTCCAGATTTTCTTTGACTACAATTCCCAGAAATCCTGGCCTGCACAGCTAGTTTTGAAGACTTCTGGGAGTTTTAGTCTAAGAACATAGAGAGGCCCAAGACTGGGAACCACTGACACAGGGGATGGACAAGGGCCACATGTCACCTTTCTATCCATTCTGCCAGTTTTCCCACTGAATTTCAGTAGTGCAACATTAAATAATGAAAAGAAAAAAAACAATGCCTTTTTTCATGCTTCCAGCAGGCTTCTAGGAGCTGAAATCTATGTGGGAACAAGATACTCAGTGGAATATGCTTTTTATCTAAAGAAGAACAGACACCTTATAAATGAAAATGCTGCTTTTTCTCAACATGGCATGCTGAATTTTTGCGCCAAAATTAGCAGTGGCATAGTATAGCTCCATTCCTATGTTGGTTCTGGAGGGGAAAATAATTCCTGGACCTAGAAATGTTGCCCAACACAGGGGAAAAATTCAACTCCTCTTCTGGCTCTCATAAAATAATAAACTTTTCCCCATCCATGTTCTACGTTAACCTACTTGTATCTTCTTATGACGTCCTTAATGCCCTAGCAGGGACCCAGACTTAAAACACAAGCAGCCATCCTTATAAGTAAAAGCATTTTTAAAATTTAAAGTAATTCTATACCGTCTTTCCAGGCAAAGCCTCTCTTAAGGTTGTATGAAATTAAAGTATTATGAAACAATAAATAAAGAATAAGGATTAGACAAAATGATCAACCCATTTCACTATATCACAATAGGGATTATTGATTTATTCATACTTTAAATTTAAAACAAACTTTTGGAAGATTGTGTACATGCCAAGATAGAAAAGTCTATTAAAATTAGTAGCTTTTTGAAAAGCAGTACTATTAATGGTTTATATTTAGAAACAGACAAGGAAAGAGGGGGATTGTGGAACAAGGAACAGTACTATGCTAAGTGGTCTACAACTGATGAACACAGGGAAGCTGTGTGTGGTATCTTCACTGCCTTCTGTTACTAATCCCAGAACTGTGTGCTGGCTCCACAGTGTGACTGTAGGAGTGGCAAAGATGTATCAGCATCTGGATCTTCCTCCACATGCTAAACAAACAGCCATATGGAAGCACAATGTGAGCGGACCTTTAAATAAGTTCCCAAAGGCCTTACTCCTTCATTTGTGCAAACTGCAAAAAGTCTTTTATTAACTATAATTCTGACAATGGTTTAGCTTCTTGGCTTTTGAAATGGGTAACCACAGATTTTTTGTTGAATGAGACAGAAAACTCTGGTTAATGAAGGGTGACTTGTAGTTGGCTCTCACAAAGACATGAAGAAAGCAGCTGCATGCATGGCTATGTCTTTACCTCTTAATATGGATCTTACAAACATGGCCAATGGAAAAGTGGTCACAGATTCCTCAGAATTGTATAATTGGCTCAAATAGTTTTAGAACTGCAGAGTTGGAAGGAACCCTATGGATCATCAAGTCCAGCTCCTGCCCAGGAGGCACAGCGGGGAATCAAACTCTCAACCTCTACCTCCGCAGCCAGAGGCCGATACCACTGAGGTATCCAGCAGTTGTGAGTGCCAGTTCCAAGGCTGTGAAACTACTTATGTGTCTCCTAGGAGACATTAATCAGCAATGCTCTGCACATCTACTTGAGAGTTAATTCTAGTGAAATCATCAGGGCTTATTTTTGGGCAGGCATGCACAGTATTGGACTGTTTGCCTTGTTTTTGTTGAATAGCAGCTCTCCTGAGCCAAATGGCAAATTCCTTTTGAAAATGAAGGGAGTTACAAAACCAGTTTTTGATTATGACATGGGGATCAGCTGCTTTTTTTTTTAAGTTAAAATTCTTCTGGCTGAAGCAAGCTTCTTTTGTGAAACCAAGTAGCTCTGTTAATCTTGGCATAGGGATTGAACTTTGTAAGACTAGTCAAGGAAGACCAAAAAACGAAGATTCCAAAAATGATATAAATTTACCAAAAATTGGTTTTTGGGTTATTTATTTATTTGTAAGAAAAAAGGCAGGGGGACAGGGGAGAGATACACTTCTTGAATAGGTATATTCTAGCTGCTGAGAGCTTTGGAGTTCATCTTCTGAATCCAGTGGTACTAGATATTGGTTAACTCATCATGTCCAAATCTTGATTGAAATTATTTGTTTTGCACATTCTTATACTTTCACCTCTTGCTGGCTAGATAGCTCAGTGGTTTAGGTATGTGCTTGCAAAGCTAGAGTTTGGGAGTTCAGTTCTCCACTGTGTCTCCTGAGTAGAGCCAGTGTGGCCTTGGGAAGCTGCACAGCCTCAGGGCACCCACAGAAGAAGGAGATGGTAAACCACTTCTGAGTATTCTCTACCTGGAAAATCCTGAAAAGGGTCATCGTAAGTCAGAATTGCCTTAACGGCACATGAGGAAAAAAAACCTTTCACCTCTTAGGTAAAAAAGCTGGTTTCATTGTTCTATGCTGTGGTTTCACTGGCAGCTGATGTACACTGTATCTTTTCTGCAGCCTTTTCTCCTTTGCATCATAAATTAATTGAACATCTGTGTTTGTAGAAGGTGAAGGAAAACGGAGCGGGAGTAAGATGGTGTGGGTTGTACGATGGCTTCTACATATGGATGAGGGAAGATGAATGTAGTTTACTTAAGAAGCTGAAGGGATAAGTCTTGGAACATTTGTTTTTTTTCTTTTTCTAAATTATGTGCTGTAAGTTTGCAGTGAAATGGAAATTGGCAACTATCTTCTAAAACAAGCTGCTAAGGAAGAGGAAGTGTATACATGTATCACTAGAAATGAAATGTCTAGACAATTACTAGAGTTAACATATTTTCCCCTCAATATGGAATTGTAAGAAGAATTGTATAATTTAGCTCTATATGGTTTTTTAAAAGTTTATTGAAAGACCACATGGAAATTGTTTAAAGCAGTTAGCAACCTCCAAACAAGCGAACAGGGAGACGCTTACATGAAACAGTTGGAATGATGGGAAAACAGATGTTTGAGGCAGCTCTTCCTGTGTGTCAAAATAACCTTACTTGTGTTTCTGTCCAAAACTGTAAAACCTACAACCTGAAACCTAATGTAGAAACCAAGAGCACCCGAGGGCTGTGCACCTTAGTGTTATTGTGTTCTTTTAAATTGAGCTGTTAACTGCAAACTGTTTGTGGCCTGCAGCAGCATCTTCATTCACTGTGTCAGTGGTTCTCAACCTTGGGTCCCCAGACATTCTCGGACTCCAAGTCCCAGAAATCCTGGCCAACGCAGCTATTGGTGAAGGCTTCTGGGAGTTTTAGTCCAAGAACATCTGAGGACCCAAGGTTAGGAACCACTGTTTAGGTGCCAAACCTGCTTGAATCAGCAGTGAGGAAGATGCAGTTTGTCCTGAGAGACTAGTTTCTTCAGGGTTTAAACTGCATTTCAACATGGCATTTCCCACTCCAGAGACCAAATGCTCCGGGCAGTTGTAGAAGAAATGAAGGGGAGAAGCCCTGCTGCCTGGTAGCTTGGGGACAGTAGAGAAGAAATGCTGAATAAACATCTAGATTCTAGATGGAGGGAGAAGAATATCAGTAAGAAAGAGTGGGGAGGAAGATGCAAGTGGACCAGAGGACTCAGGATTTCTAACTGGGGAAGTTGGGAAATTCTGCTAGGGTGGAATAAGCACACTGTAGGCAAACAAGACAGCTGCTGATTAAGCATGCCCGCAGTCTCTGTCAGGTGCTTAGCCCCTTGTTCCCTGTGAGTAGTAAGAGGTGCTTTGAGAGTTTGTCTCTAATGTTTTCTTTTCCGGGCATTTGTATAAGAAGCTTGATTAGCCCCTTTTGTGGCCTAGGCGCAGTGGTCCCCGACCTTGGGCCTCCAGATGTTCTTGGACTACAACTCCCAGAAGCCTTCACCATCATTTCTGCTAGCCAGGATTCCTGGGAGTTGAAGTCTTAAAACATCTGGGGACCACTGGCCTAGGGGGCATATAAATCTATAGAGCAAGGATAGCTTTCTGAATGTTGTTGGACTTCTCAGAATTAATTCTCAGCATTAGTCAGCACTTGCTATGCTAAGTACCTTAAAGGTGCCAACCCTCATTCTGGAGAAGGCTTTCCTCTTTTCTTTTTAATCCAGAACTTTCCCTGGAAGAGCCACTATAGGATAACGGTGGTATGGCTATTGTTGAATGTGGAGTGTTAATCAAATCCTCTTGAACTGTGGAAGATTACAAGCCTTCTATTTACTGGAACTGTTTGTTTTTTTCCTAGGGATTCTAATGGGCATTGCTGTCAACATCTTTGTAGAACCATTTTTCAGAAAATGTTCTTCCTTTAGATGCAGTTGAGACACTACTCTTCATCCCCAAGGAATGCTATGGTTTTGATTTATCCATATTAAGACATGTCCAGTGGGGTCTGGTTTGTGCTTAAAAATTTATCATCTTTAGTGTGATCTATTTTATCTCTCTCTTGAGAAATTCTTCTGTTCACACTGATTGGCTTTTTTTCTTCCATGAGAAGAGTCCAGACAGATCTCTGGATTGCTTCAATTTGTCCACCTTCTGATTAGTGGCACTTCCCTTCCCTACCTTTTCCCATGGCCGTCATTCAGACAACTTTCCTTTTTTGTTGTTAAATAAAGTGACATAGTGAAACAGCAACACATCTACCTAGCATGGTACTGTACACATAATACCACTAGTGTATCTCATTTAGCTATATTAGTGCTGCATCAGTAGAAAAATACATTACTTTTTAAAAATGATGCAGTAGATTAAAATAGGGGAAGTTTTTTTTCCTGCTATCCCCATTCATGCCAAAACTCACCAAATATGACACAGGGTTGTCAGCTCAAATAACACTGCCCACAGCTCTGTTTTGATGAGAACTAACCATCTGCATGGGCTACAGAACATGATAATCAGGAGTGCTCTAAGTCAACCCCTATAGCCCTAGCACTGTCCCAAAAAGGAGTGGGGCAGCTCTAAAAAGGGGTGGGATGGATTGCTCAAAGTCAAAACATATAGAGACACCATAATTTGATTTGAACCAAACAGCACTAAAAGCGTTGCAAATAGCAAGCTATATGCCTGTTTGGATATGCACTTATCAGAATTGAACTAAACTGTATTGGAACCACGGATAATTTAATTTGCATACGAATTGTACAATTGTGGCTGAATAATTAACCTTAAGTAATGAGTGAGGAAATGATCAGGAGTACTCTGGAACTGCCCCTTCATGGATTGCTGCCTTGTTGTGACGAAGGGGCTTGAGTAATTTAGAGAAGCTATGGGCTATGCCATGCAGGGACACCCAAGACGGTCAGGTCATAGGGGAGAGTTCTGACTAAACGTGATCCACCTGGAGCAGGAACTGGCAAGCCAAATCCAGTATCTTTGCCATGAAAACTCCATGGACAGAAACAAAAGGCTAAAAGAAATGATGCTGGAAAATGGGCCCCTCAGGTCAGAAGGATCCAACATGCTACTGAGGAAGAGTGGAAGACAAGGACAAGTAGCTCCAGAGCTAATGAAGTGGTTGGGCCAAAGCCAAAAGGATGCTCAGCTGCAGACATGCCAGGAAATGAAATGAAAGTCCTATGCTGCAAAGAAAAATACTGCATAGGAACCGGGAATGTAAGATCTATGAATCTTGGTAAGCTGGATATAGTCAAACAGGAGATGGCAAGAAGAAACATTGACATCCTGAGCATCAGTGAACTAAAATGGACAGGAATGGGCAAATTCAATTCAGACAATTATTGTATCTACTATTGTGGGCAAGAATCTTTTAGAAGAAATGGAGTAGCCTTCATAGTCAACAAAAGAGTGGGAAAAGCTGTAC